TCTTTGATTTGTTTCTGTTTCTTTCCTTTGTGCAAAGTTTATTGGTATTTGTTTGGCAAGCCACCTTCATACCATTTATTTAATATCACCTCCCCTACCCAAACAAACGTTTTGTTGGCGCGTAAGCTAATATTCGTTTATTTTCTTCTTCTTTTTCGCTTTAATTTTCACGTGGGACCCGTGCGTTTTTGTTTGATGAACGGTCCTGCTCTTGTCGTGTTAAGAAACAGAGATATTAGGAGGAGATTTAGGAACCAACCACTCAACTTAATCACCAAATTAACACTCTCTTTCTCTCTTCTTTATTCTTTGATTTGTTTCTGTTTCTTTCCTTGTGCGAAGTTTATTGGTATTTGTTTGGCAAGCCACCCTCATACCATTTATTTAATATCACCTCCCCTACCCAAACAAACAATACCCACCAACCATCATATTTGTTTTCATTTTACGGTGAAAATAAAGGCGCACATCATTTTTCCTCAAACTCCCACCTTACTCTTCTTTTCTAAGAAAATGTTTTTATCATGACAAAGATAATATCCTATTGAGGGGAGATTAATATACTTTAATCATGCAATAGATTCCAATTATTTCGAGAATGTTAGGATAATAACAAATGCATGATGGTCTTAATTTAGTATTGGTTGAGAGAAACAGAAAACAGAAACTTAATCATGCATCGAAAACAGACAAGAGCGGCCGGATCAAATTGGGTTGCCGTTTAATTATTAAAAACAACATGGGGATAAGGCTGGAATATGGTTCAACATATTGGGATTGAGTTGGGTTGGGTTTGGGTGGACAACACACAACACAACAGTCAGAATATCAAATTGATGGGTTTCGTCATTAGTGGAGATTATAGTTTTAAGATCACAAGATTAGGATCTATCTTACTTTAATTAAAAGGTACAATTAAAAAATTAATATAAAACGACAAGGAATGAGTCGAATGAGTGACGATGGTGGGTGGGAAAAGAATCAAGACCGCGTAGCCTCAGGTGCCAATGAGCTGCCCCTAGCCAGCGCCCACCGGAACCTGAGCTGTATCCTACGTTATTTCATGGCTAATCTCCATGATTAATTAACTTGATTGTTTTTAAGAGTTGAAGTAATAATTAGTAATTAAATCAATTAATTAAAATCCTGTTGCATTGTACCATATGATATGATTAAATTAGTGATACATGATAACAGGAGAGATCTCGTGCGTGGGGACCGATAGTGCTGGCTCACGGCTGTATGGATTTAGTTTTAGATAAGCATGAGCTTTTGGTTGTAATTTCTCAAGATCAATGCTCAACCACCCCACGTGCAAAAAGCTTCGCCGAAAAATGTCAGCATTCCATTCCCAAACATGGGTGTGGGCCCCCTACTTTCAAAAGTTTGGGCACAATGGCTTGTTAGGTGGGCCACTCATTTAGCGACATCAATCAAGTCATTATCTACGACTAATTTAGGACAGCCCACGTTTAACTGCTCATTAACCAAAGTGCAGAATCATAAAACATGTTCAAGCAATACATGGACGCACAACTCAACTTACAGATAAAAGATGCCTTAATGTTGCTGTATATAAATAACACTAAAAGCCACAACAAAAGAGATCCAAAAAAGGATTGGAGAACTTGGTGTTAAAGTCACCAAGCCCTAAAATTTCAGAGGTCAAGTCTTCACTGCGGGTCTAACCAACCCTAATCCTGAGCCACTCCCCAAATGCTTGAAGTCTTTTGCTTCAAGATTATCTCCATGGCCGGCAAAGCCTGTTCCACCTTTTGCCAAGTTCACCAAATGCCTTTCTTTACATCCCTTGTCGCAAACAAGGCAAACCTTATCTACAGCCATGAACTTATCAGCACATTTCTTACAAAAAACGTGCCCGCATGAACTGAGAGCCACGAGCGACATCGTGTTGGTCAAAGTAACCTTGCAGCTCGGACAGATAAATGTCTTATCCAGAGATGAAGATTTCTTCTTCTCACTATTGTCTTCTGTGTAATAAACAGGGAAAAGGGACTTCAGCTTTAGTTTCTCGCTTCCTTCTGGACAGACTGTGCTTGTAGAAGGAGCATCTACTTTAGCAGGAGCAGCAGGTGTAGCAGAAGGCAGCCAAAATGCTTTCATTGTCCGAAGCGCCTCTTCTTCATAAGAGGTGACCTTAACACTATTGGCACCATGGAAACCAGTCTTATCTCGGCTCTGGTTTCTATCATTGTATTGCGGTAGTGCACCATGGTTTTGCTGATCAAAAGCCTCGAGCTCTCTAGCTTTCTGCTGCAGTAACTTGTCTTCTTCCTCTTGGTTCTCTTGCTTCTGCTGAGCAGTATGTGCAGCTTGCTTTCTGCCAAGGGGAAGAAACAACCTCTTAAGCACAAACCACACAAAGGATAGAATTTATATATAACAAACCCATGAGACATTTTACTCATGAGTCAGTGAAAATAAATACAGCCAAAAGGCATCAAGCTCGGCCAAGCTCACAGCTTTCATAGGAAGCCTTGAGGAACCCAGAACACAAACATGGACCACGCGACTGCAAAAACTAACAACCAGCAACCATGTTTGGCTTCTATAAGCACACTTAAATGCATGTCAGTTTTAAAGTTACCAATTGGTTTCCCTATGGAAGTGCATATATTAGGCTCCATGGAATTGCACTACATACATAAACCATATTCCTCAGCAACAGATAATCTCATTCAGTAAAAAAACTATAAAACTACATTAGCCTAGTCAAAAAGGGTTTGAATATCATTTCTTAGGCTTTATATTCCGAAACCATGTTAGTGGCTGAGCCAAAATGATTAACCAATCACACAAAGAAAAGCTATAGAATTATGTTAGTTAAGATGCAAATTCAAGGAAAAATAACTATAAAAAAAATGCATTTCTTTTCCTATCTTTCACTTTTGCCATTACCATAGAACATACTTCTGAAATTCTTTCATCCCATAGAAGAAAACCCACATTTGAGTTGTAATCAATAGTAACATACTACACAGAAAGCCAGAACCCAATTCAAATGAGATACTACCATGGCAACCTCCAAGAGGAGTCCTTGGTAGCTGAAAAAGCTAGCTTCTTTATGAAGGAAGGTGACAAAACAAATATAAATGGCACTGAAATTATGATTACCAAGCAAAATCCCACTTTCAAATTCTTGATCCAATACAGAATGGGGCTTCTCAAACGATCTTAGGAGTGTCGATAGTGTTCTCTACGAGTTGAAGTTGGTTTATTGGGCCAATTAAGTACTTTCTACTTTATCAAAGGTGGAAGCTTTCGGGTACACAGTGATATTCATGTCATCCAAAAACCTAACCCTATTTTCGAAGAGCTCCCACCTCTATTGGACCCTATCTTCTACTCATAAGCTCTTTTTCAAATACAGAAATTCAATGCATCAAAGCCAAATTCACAGAGAAAAAGAATAAATCCGGACACTAATAATAACAAAAAATTGGTGAAAATTGGAGGTTTGAGATAGAGAGAGAGGCGACGTACCTCTGGATATCTTTCTTCTGAGAAAGCAAGCACTCGAAAATGCATTCTTTACAAAATACGTGGCCTTTCTGGCAGCACATGGGGTCAATGAAGTGCTTTAAGCAGAGGCAACAAGCGTCGAAAGGCTTGATGGAGTCCCTGCCCAGCCTCTCCTTCTGCGTTCCATAGCCTAGCTTTTTCTTCTCATCGTAGGTGAAGAAAGCGAGGTCATTGTTGTTCTTTGAGTGCCTCTGAGGCATATTTTCTAAAAGACGATTGAAACAAATTTGGATTGGGATTCGATTTGGGGATTTGGGGATTTGGGAATTTGGGAAGAGAGATACAGAAGCAGCCCTAAATATATTTGAGGTGCCTGAACCCGATTTCGATTTGGATTAGGAATTTTATTACCACCGCCATATTAAACGACATGCCGCGGGAACTACAACGACAACATGGCGACCCCAATTCCTTTTTTTCTCAACCATTACACTCTTACGCTAATACCTTTTGAATTGTACACTTCGTGTTGCAATTTATCACACGAAAAAAAGTTGGAGTCAATTTATAATTTAACGTTGCATCTATGGTTAAGTTATAGATTTATCAGTTTTTTTTAATTACAAACAATAATCTAAACTATAGGGGAGAAAGGTTTCTCACACATACATTATTATGATGCCATGAGATTCGAATATGAGACCACTAATCTGCAAGTCAAAGTCCTTTTTCACTAGGTTAGATCTCGTCGGATCTTCGATGTTCTTCAGTTTTTGGTGGACTTATGTCAATCTACTCTTGTTTTGGAAGATCTATTGTCTCAAATTTGGGTTAACTTTAGTTGTGCTTCATCTTGCGAGGCTGCTATTTGAGGTGTTGCGGCTTGGTCATGGTAGATCCACTACTCATTGGTGTATTGATGCCCAAGAATAACTAGAAGGTTCTCTCTATGCCATGCCCCGAAGGAAGATTAGCGGCGAATAATTTTCCTTTAGTGGACGGTGTTTTAGTTTTTTTATTTATTTGGTTTAGTTTGTTCAATAAAGTTTAGAAACTGTACGAGTTTTATGTGTTTTTCCCTCTCATGATTCTAGAAAAACTTAGTTGAGTTTGTTGGGTGTTTTTAGTCTCTTTAAGAGAGTCATGTTGGTTAGTGGTTAGTTTTTGTCTTTGATGCCATTGAATTAGATTCGGAAAAATTATATAAGTTAAAAGAGGTTTTAGAAAAGTTATTTTCTAGTGTGATTCCCTCCATATTGTTTTAGCTTTTCGACAAGTTGCAGAAGTTTTATCCATGATTACTATATTGTTATTGGAATAGCTCCCATATGTATCCTTTACTATTTATTCTTATAAATCTAATAAAATTTTATCGCCTTCTTATAATAAAAAAGTGGTAATTTGTAAGAATGTCTAATTAAAATAAATATTGAAATTACAGTATTTACAGAGCAAAATAACAAAATATAGAAGGATAAAAGAAAATATTAATTAGCTTACTCTTCTCTTTTAAGAAGCTTTGGAGATTGACTCAAACAAACACATGTGACCTTGACAGTGTTTACTGAGAAAGTACTGTGGTAACCCCTTCATTTGTTTCTTCTTCTTCAATATCAATCAATCCATGGCTTCTCCGAGGAAGAGCCCACTTAAAGAACCAGGAGATCGTCAGTCAGCGGCAATCGTAGTCCAACCGTCGTCCCCGCGTTACCCTCCGAGTGGGACCCCCACCTCGGGGGCCCAGCGCCGAATCGGGATCGCCGTCGATCTCAGCGACGAGAGCGCCTTCGCCGTCAAATGGGCCGTCCAGAATTACCTCCGTCCCGGCGATGCCGTCATCCTCCTCCACGTCCGCCCCACCAGCGTCCTCTACGGCGCTGACTGGGGCTCCACCGATGTCTCCATCCCCGAAGATCAAGAGTCTCAGCAGAAGCTCGAGGACGATTTCGACAATTTCACCGTCACCAAGGCCAATGACCTCGCCAAGCCTCTGGAAGAGGCTAAGACTCCGTACAAGATCCACATAGTGAAGGACCACGACATGAAGGAGAGGTTGTGCTTGGAGGTCGAGAGGCTCGGCCTCAGCGCCGTCGTTATGGGCAGCCGGGGCTTCGGCGCTTCGAAGACGACCTCCAAGGCCAGGCTCGGCAGTGTCAGTGACTACTGTGTGCACCACTGCGTCTGTCCTGTCATCGTTGTAAGGTTCTCCGATGAAAAGGACGAAAACGACGTCGTAAAGCAAGGTAAATTTGGCTGTCCGGTCGTGCGTGAGGAAGAGCCGGAGTTCCATGACGCTTTGGAGAAAGGTTGAATCTCTATCTCTCTGCACTTTCTTCTTTGATTTCTCAGCTCCATTTCACTTTTTCTCTTGCTAATTCTTAATTTATTAACATGCATAGAATATTAACTCTGCTTCTGTTAAATTCATTGTTGCTCTGTTTTTTTTTTTTTTTTTTTGTACAAATAAATTCCTCATAATACAGTTTTAGTTAGTATCAGACAATAATTATGCATTGGATTCAGAATCCATGTGTTTGGAGATTATTGTCAGTTTTTCTTTGTTTAGTTTTAACTAAAATTGGATTGATGTCTGGTTTAAGATTCGTGCTTAAAATGTAGCTTTGTTAGTAGTATACTTCATTTGCCATATGATTGTAAATGACGAGATTAAGAGATAGCATTCAGGTCATTCTTGCAGAGAAGGTATACCATTTGCTTCCCTCACCTTCTTTTCCACCTGGGTATGTTTACTGGAAATATGCTCTAGTATGTTAAAGTTTTTGCTTTCTGATTTTTGTTTTACTCATGTGTTCCAATTCTTTAATGCTCTATCTAAGCCGCTGCAATCTAAATCAAAAAGTTGACAGAGTTGTATGTTTCCTTTCTTTTGATCTTTTGTGCCAAAAACACTGCATTCAAGAACGAGATACGTCATTAAAGCCTTATATTTTGCGTCTGGTTAATTAGACGGTTTCTCTTTTTTCGTCACCTCTTCTGAAGTAACGTATTACTATTTGTTTGTTACCTAATACACGTAAGCAGATGTTGTTCTGTTTTCTCCTGGTAATAAGTTGAAGTAGCTAAACACCTGGGTTGATATGTGGCGGGTGGTGATCCACTGGGTTGTCTCCTTTCTTTCTTTTCCCCCTCATTAAATGTAATCCTCAAATCATGGATTCTTCATCTACATTCATATTTAGATTTTGAGACATCAAGTTTAAGGGCTGATTCAGGATTCATTGTCTAATTCAGCATCAATGCATTTGATTTCTAAGAATCAAATATAACAATTAGATGTTGGGATTTCAATTTCTTTCATTTACTTTGATAGTGTGTAGAATATAAATTGCAGGAATGCTTAGGACTTCTCTAGTATTCCATCTGTATTCTTAGAGGTTTATTTTTTCCTTGGTTTAATGAAAAGAAGTCCTTTTATTAGGAAAATTATAAATGTTTTCTCTTGGCATCAATGTGTGAGTTTTTTCCTTTTTCCATTGATCTTTTGAATTTAAATGTTGGTTGCACAAAAAGTAGTTTGATGGTGCTTATAACTAACGTTTTTGCCACCTACATTTCCTACTATCAAGATACCGGGAAGAAAGGGAAAAAAAAAACTTGCGTATTAATAGGAGCAACCAATGGTGTGAATAGTAGCAGCCTTGCTAGTGCTCCATGTCTACAATGAGGACATCTACTACCAGTAGATACATTTTTGTTTAACGATCCTAAGGCAAATAGAAATGGCAGATTGAAACTACTATATGTGCTGTTGCATGGCTGGTATACATTGCTCTAGACCTGTCTTATGAGAGGAGAATTTTGTTTCATTTCATTTGTGCTGTTGTGTGGGTGGTATCCACTGTATATCTGAAACCTGTTTTATAGAAGTTTGTTCTGCTAGAAACTAACGATTCAAGAACACCGAACAAGGGGTTGATGGTGATTAGGTAAGTGTTTGATGAGTGATTGAATCTTACCTGTTGCATTGTATGCGTGGTATTATGACAATGCTGTTTGCATGATAGTGTGATACAAACCCATTGAACCCAAAATGTAGCTATGAATAGCCTATGGTTATAATGGATAATCATCTTGTAAGGGCTGAAATCAAATGGTTACTTTTAGAGTTCCTCCTCAAGAAAGGATGACCTAGAGGGCACGGGTAGGGTATTTAAGTAAATAAGTTCATCTTGCTAGGTTAGGTTAGGTCTTTTGGAATAGCTTTTCTATGATTTTATCTTCCACAAAGCATCATTAGAGGTGCTGAATCTCTCTCTATCAATGATTCAGTTGAAAATTCATACAGAATTTCATGGCTTGCAGATTCAGACAAGGCGCGTTGAACAGATGGGAGGTGGTGAAGAGCTTTCAGATGATGTTTATCAAATACTCCTGGTTCGTATGTAATCATGTTGTATGAAAAAGTGTGGCGGTAGTAGTACTGAGTCTGAGTCTGAGTCTTTTCCTTTTGGTTTGTGGCATTACTGACTGAATGTCCGAATCTGCTCGTCTTTTGTTTTAACCACCTATTCACTGCCTTGCATCTTTATGGAGCTCCAGGATGATGAATAATGCATGATTTCTATCTTATTCTTCCTTTTTAGTATTCTGAACTTACAACTTGCAAGACTGCACTTCTTCCTCTTCGAGATTCATAACATTTGTAGCCCAAAAAAAAAAAGAAAAAAGAACATACTGCTGCCTCTAAATTGTTTGGGGATTCATAAAACCCAACCAACCGAAGACCCCAAATTGCCTTTTATGAAGCCCTAAAGGCCCAAACCAACCCAACTCAGCCCCAGCCCTGATTTGGTTGATTTGGGCCTTTTGGGGCTTCATAAAGGGCAATTTGGGAATTTTACAAGAAACATGTCAGTGTGTCCTGACTCCGAGATCTGTATCTATTTTGATTTGGAAATTGGAACTCTTTGATTAGATGATTGATTCTATAGCTAGGAGCACGTTTTTTGTGATTGTTAAAATGGAAAAAGTGTTTTGAGTGAAATAAATCGTTGGTGCATAAATTCAAAAGGGTGGGCTATGCAGCTAGCTGTTAGTCTTAATAAAATTCATCAAAGCCAATGAATGGTCTTTGCTCTGTTGAATAATGACTTAGTTAGCGTGAATCAGATCTCGGATTAGATTTAACCTTAATCATTCAGTCTATATGGGCATTTTAGTGTGTATTTTTCTTCTTTGAAGAGGAAACAAAGAGAGAAGAAAAAGAAAGCATTTGTGAAGAATCCATGATAGAGGATTTGGTCCCTGTTGTCAAGATTTCATTGTCTCTGCAAATCCAAAGTGCAAAAGAACGACGTCACTTTGGTGATGTAAGTAAAGGACGGAAGAAGGGCACAATATTTATTTTCCATATAAAGGCCTATGTAAGAAGTGGCCACCATTGCAAGTTACATAATAGGAAGGAAAGGAATAACATTATTCCGTGGTGGAGAAATACTTCCCTATGCCCGTTGTTCCGTTGTTCCGTTGTTGTCACATACACACACGCAGACGAAAATGGTGAACAGCTTAAATAAAACAGAATCCAAAGGGCAATCAATCAAAAACACAGACGGACCCAAAACATCTTACATCTCCAGGTGTTAGAAATCTTCAATTGGATCCACCACAACCACATAATAAAACTTGTCTCCCTCTACAAGCAACAATTTCCCACCACAAACAAAACCCACAAGGTCTAGGCTCACTAGCTCCCCCTCCCCTTCCTCTTTGATGATTCCTTGTTTCTTTCTTTCAAGTTTTAATATTAGTCTATTAGCAGCTTAGCTTTCTTAATAAATCACTAATCAAGTTGCTAATAAAAAAATATATACTATTTGCTAATTCATGAATTATGGCAGGCACGTGGACATGTTTCATGCTTTGACCCCACCTCCCATTCTCTAGAGCTACATATTCTACTAGTAATACTAATTACACATTACAAAAGCAATTTTCTATGCTTCTCTCAATCTAGTAACAACCTGCTCAGATCAAACCTCCCCAATATAATAACAAAAAGTCTACGAATTTAGAATTAAGGGATGTTTTAATTTAAGATTAGCATCCCCTAATTCCTCCTATGTGTTGTTGAGTGTTTGACAACTAAATTTGACTAGAAAAAAAAAAGATATTTAGTAATATCCCAATTCTTAGCACTAATAATATAAATAAGGGTCATGCTAAATAACAAAAAGTCTACGAATTTAGAATTAAGGGATGTTTTAATTTAAGATTAGCATCCCCTAATTCCTCCTATGTGTTGTTGAGTGTTTGACAACTAAATTTGACTAGAAAAAAAAAAGATATTTAGTAATATACCCAATTCTTAGCACTAATAATATAAATAAACTCCCAATACAATGGGTCCCACGCTCTATTAGAGAGTTGGTACACAAGTTGGTATCCCAAGTTGGTCTCCCTAGCATTTTCCTATAAATAAACCCTACACCATTTAATTTCTATAAACAAACCCAAAAAAATTTCCAAAACATGACAGCTGGTCCTATTGAATTTAATTTTGATTATTAAATTACTTTGATGCCCTATTGAGTGTTTTGGGCTTTTTTATGAGATTTTGGAGTTGGATTTGTTTTAAGAAATCAATGATAATTTTGTAATTTAAAAGAAGTTAAAAGATTTTTTGTTATATTGTAAATAGACTTTGGATGTATTTCTAAAATTCATTTTATATATAGTTTTTTTTTATAATTTAAGCTCTTATATTTGGTATAATAGTGAATCTCATAAATAAAAAAAAAACTTTGATCTGACACTGAGCTAACGTACACCTAAATATGGAGACCTTTTTATTATATCTTGCGTTATGTGCGCGGCTAAAGTAAAACCATTTGGTCTACTCGTATGGTCAAATCATATTCTACTTTTTTCCTTCCAAGATGCTGGAAAATTATGGCAGAGAGAGAGAGAGAGAGAGCTTCAAAAACAGGGGAGTGGAAAAAACTTGTGGCTCAAACTTTTTGCTAGGTGGAGGAAAAAATGGAGTTTGCTACTTGCAGAAACTTTGTGCAAACATAAAGTACAGAAAAAACAGAGAATAATATTGGGTTTATACAGCACAATTTGCTTACATTATAAGAGTAATGATGAGACTTGTGAAGATCCAATTGAAATTTGAAGTCACAAAACTCACAATGGCCTTAAAAATGAGAAAATTCACCTGAAACTGTGTGACTCTTAATCTTTAAAGCCTTCATTAACAGCTAGATTTGCAGAAACCAATGATGGTCTTAAACTTGTTCTTGCCTTGATTTTTTTTCTCTTGAAATCGGTTTCACTTCAACATTGCTTGATCTGGTCATCTGGTTTCTCTTCCGGTCCTTGTGTCCCAATTGAGGCCCTCGTCGTTCTGCTTTTGAAAAGTTGTTCTGTTTAGGTGACGCTAAGAGAAAAGCCATAAAAATAGTAGCAAGGTTAATTTAGGTGAAGAACTGAAGTACCTGAAAATTCGAGTGTGAATTGCAGGAGCGCATGCGCTTACATGAAAATGCTGTTGTTGATTTGGAGGGGCTTTCACTGAAACATTCTTCACTGCTACTTAAAGAACTTGATGAGACTGGTGGAGGAGACCATGGAACAACTTGATTTTCTTCATCATCATCACCATCCCCATCATCATCATCACTACCATCATCTTCTTCTTCAGGGTTATTTTCTCCATCATCTCTATCATCATGATCATGGTCATGATCATCATCTTCTTCTCGTTCATCATTTTCTTCATTTCTGGGTTCCTGGTTAGAAGTATGAATGCATTTCTCACAAACGGAAACTGTAGGGCCGAGGTTGAGTCCAGAGCCAGTCCAGGGGGTTGGAGATTGACAGACATGGCAAAGCAGAGTCCTTGAATGCTTAGCCACCAGGAAGTTTGCAGCATGAACCTTGATGTCACACTCCCAACACAGGCTAGCCTGATCTGATTCACAATACATCTTTGCTACAGAATCACAAAGCTCACACTTCTTCTTCATCTCTCTCTCTCTCTCTCTCTCTCTCTCTCTCTCTCTCTCTCTGCGAAGACAAGTCAATCCCTCTTAGTTTTGATTCCTTAACCACATCTTACTTCTGCTCTTTGTTGTTAATCCCCTGGGTGTATATAAAAGGGCAGAAACTGGAAACACATGGTGCAGGGCAACTTGCACCTATTTATATTCAAAACCAGCCCCCTGTTTTCTTTCTTTCTTTCTTTCGTTTTTTTTTCAAAGACAGAATTTTTATTTTCCTTCTGAGCTGGGAGAGAATAAAGATACACCAATCACTCTGGCTCCTTGAGTTTATGGGGCAACTTGATTGGCAGAAGAAATACATACGTTGGGTAAGCATTGACAAACTTATGGATAACTATTCTTACATACATACTTATCCCATCATAGAAAAAGAAAAAGAAAAAAGAAAAAAAAAAGACCATAAAACAATTCATTCATTCAGAACACCATTGATTTTGGGAAGAAAAAAGAAAAAAGATGTGACAACTGGATGTGATATCACTGATGCTGATATTGTTATGTATTATTTGTATACATTTGTCTGAATAAGAATCACAACAAGACTTTTAGCACAAAATGGAAGGAAATAGAGTAAAAACTTTGTAGGCAGAGGCTTCACCGTAAAAGTTTTTTTGGGAGAATGTTCTAAAATTACTCTAATGTATGAGGAGAGATTCAAATTCATGTGCAAAAGGAAGACGCATTATCTTGGTCAAGTGGCAACTCATATTTGCAACCGTAGAAGTTTAATTATGGGTGACAATTAGGTGCACTTAGTCAGCACTATTGACCCTTCAACATGGCCTAGAAACTTGACACATCATATGGCACCTACCAATGTCATGCAATAGATGACATGTTTACTAATCCGTAATTGGATTAGAAAGGAATTGAATTGAGGAGTTGGATTGAGAGGGGTTAGATTTTGGATTCCTATTGAAATTGTTTACTAAACCATATGGGATTGGAGTAGGAGTGGTACTAATTATTAAAACATCCTCATTGTTCGGTCAAAGTATATGGCAAATTTGAAAATTTGAAAATTGTGTGAGGATATAATGGATAAAAAAGATGAATTCCTAATGGGTTAGTTCTCAAAGAATTAGAATAATACCTTCCACCTAAGAATTGAATTCCTCCAAAATCAGGAATTCAATGCCTAATTTTGTGTGGACCTCACTTACTTTTCAATTTCTTAGTGTGAAGTAAATGCAGAAATTCTCCATATTCAATTCCTGATGAGAATTTCAATTCATGATTAATAAACACACCATTAATGAATTTTGGGGTGGGGTAAGTAGAAGAGACCAGGTCCACCCATCGGCCCCATTTCAAGCAATTTGTGGTTGGTCATGCATGCACTCAGTGCTCTCTGAATTTAGACACCCAAATGGATGCAAGATAAGCTACTTTTGCCCTTACATCCTTGTCTCTCATATTTAAATATCTCACACAATTCTGCTAACAATAACGACAATTGTTGTACTTGCATATATAGACAGATAGACAGGTGTCTAAATTGCAGTGAACAAGAAATTATGTGGACTCACTCGAACTCTTTGAAAAAAAAATTCTTTAGGGTAGTTGTAGTGATTTAATTGGAACTTAGAGGTTGCTGGAAATGGGTTTTTTTTTTTTTTTTTCATTAGAAGAAATTCAATCACGTGGCATTCTAAAATGAGGTTTAGTGGGTTGGGGAAGTCACTTTGGTAGTTGGTATCTTCATGGCATTGGCAAGGTGTTCGATTTGCTTTGCATATGACATGTTTCACCATTGGATGGTGGGTTTAAAAGTCTCAAAATTAACTCAATTTGCCTCTTTCTTTAGCAATTTGGGTTGGTGTCCATTTCCATTGAACTTCAAATTTTGATGAGTAGCTAGATCAAGTAAGATATATATATATATTATTGGACCAATCTCTCGCAAGCAGAAAGACATATCACATATGTGGCTGAGGTTTTTAGCTGTACAGATTCAAATGGAACGGATCAAATTATTGATGATCACATTTCTCGATTTTCTCCTTTGTTGCTTGGGTCATGTAATAGATACACCAAGGGTTGGCATTTTGTACCGCAATATTGAAAAACTGACTGAACTGACCGATATTTTATCGCAAACAGGCCGACAAGTCACAAAAACCATAATTATTTTGTAATTATATATTTAATTAATTTATTATAATTATTTTGTATAACTCTCTCATCTCCCACACTCTCAGGCAAGGTATTAAATGTCGATATTATCCTGATAATATTGGATTTTTTGGAGGCCGATATTTTCGCAACAAATCATGGTGTTATCGTCAATATATTGATATTTTTATTGATATTATCCCGATAATATCTGGGAAGATAATTTCAATATTTTTATGCATGATTTGGGCAATATATCGCGATATTATCGATAATATCCCGATACGAAACCCAAAAATATTTATATACATGATTTTTGTGAAAACCATTTTACTCTTTCAACACCTTAACCACCATATCACTTATGTTTTTGTGAAAATATGCTAATATATATATATATATATATACATGGTTTTGTTTTGAATTCTTTTTGCAAGAAACAAATTTTCACATGAGATGAGAATGAATCTTTGACCATTCCTTTTGGGGATTACATGAGATGAGAAACAATTACATGCAAAACTATTTTGGGGATTTATCATTTGATGACTACTCTTCACAATATACTTACTCTACACATAGAGATGATGAAGATAGTGAAAATTTTGAATCTCATAGGAACTCTATGTGGTACTAAGTCACTCATGTATCTTACCATGCAATGTATAAAGTGTAAAATATTGTAGTAATTCATTATACATAAATGATTATGGTGTGTTTAATCTTCTTTCATTAATTACTACATATTTTCTACACTTACAGTGTTTGCCAGCTCACTATATAATCAACTTAAATCAGTTAAATCCATCATGCAATGCATTTCCTTCCAATTTTTTGTGATAAACTAATAGATAATTGACTAAATAAACATCATGCAAAGTTTCAATAAAATTTTTCAAGTTTTTCTTACAATTTCCGTGGTTTTTATTCAATTTTTACCGATACTGATAATATCCCGATATTTCCATCAACATTTCCGTATTTTTGTCCCGATATTTCCATCGACATTTCCGTATTTTTGGACTTCCGATATTTCCGATACTACCGATATTTTAGACCTTGCTATCAGGCTTTCTCCCTCCCTCACTCTCTCGTTTCTCTACTCGCCATTCGGCTGAAACACACAAACCCAAAAAAAAATGTGGGTTTCAATCTCACCTCAACCCAAAAAAAAAAATGTGGGTTTCAATCTCACCTCACCTCTCTCTCTCTAGTCTCAATCTCTCTCTCTTGTCTTGATCTCTCTTTGTCTCGCTGGCCTCACTCTCTCTCTCTCAGCTCACTGAATCACAAATGAGCTTATTAGGTAAACTTGTTAGGGTTTTGATTGGGAATATCTAGGGTTTCAATTGAGTTAAATGATGCAACTGAATTGGGGTTTGTCAATTTTGGGTTTTGAAATTAGGGATTCAAATTTCACAGGGGATTTTTTGCTGATTTCTCAGCCTAATTTGGTGTTGGCGGTATTTGGTGATACCGACCGCATTTTTGGTCTGATTGAGTCACGGTTAACCGACCTCTATCAGGTCGGGACCGGTCCCAAATATAGTCATACCGCAAATTGTTGGTTAGTTCACGATTCCCAAACTGAGACCAGCCCTAGAGACACCCAAAAATTTTCCCCATTTTGGGCTTAGGTGGATTGGGCTCCCAATTGGCTAGTTCCATCTAGGCCCATGATTTCAGAAAAGTCATGCACAAACCTGGATTGGATTGGTGAGTCCAATACTGTGATCCATGATAAGCCTAGGACCCAACTTTAGTTTAGGCCCAGATTTCTATAAGATCTTAATAATCTTCTTAAACATTCCACCTCCCTAATGTCAAAGCCAATAGTATAGCATGATCATATATGCTTTCCTATCCAAATTCAGCGAACAAATGACCCAAAGAGAAAAAAAATCAGGGGAAAAGAAAAGAAGGCAATAAACAATATAAAGAAGAAGACTCTCTAATAATTATTATAAGCTACCTGAAATTACAAAGTAGGATGGTTATGGAGATAGAAAGATAACCAAGAAGAAGAAAGAACTTCACAGAAAATGAAATTCCCACATTAAGAGAGAGAGAGAGAGACTACATTTCACCATCTAAATCTAAAGCTTCCACCAATAATTCCTTAGAAGTTTGCATCATGGCAGGGCTCAATCTGAACATGAGGGCACAAAACTCCATCTCATTCAAACTCCCATCACCATCCAAATCACCTTCCTTCAGCATGCACATGATCTCCTCATCACTCATGCCTTCCAACCCCAACAGGCCTGAGTTCCTCTTCAAGCTCTCAAATGTGATCACGCCCTTCTCTCTGTCCATCAACAACCGGAACCCATTGCAGAGCTCCTTCATGAAACCATCTGCTCCCAATTTGTCAACCATGGCAGGAAAGAAATCTTCAAACACAACCCCATTTCGACAAGCCATTGATTTTTCAATATGGGAAAATGAAAGAACTCAAAGCAATTATATAAAATTTAAGGGCAGCTAGCTAGCTAGCTTTACGTGTATTTTTTATGTGAGGGATGGAGTAGTACTGTGGAAAAGTGACCATCTGAGATGGGGATTTATAAGGCGTAGAATTAAGTGAGAGGAAAATATGAGGAAGATTTCGAGGAAAGAGGGTGGCTGTGGGTGACAACAAAGGTAGAGTACAGATAAGAGAGAATTTATGTTTGTTGCCGGGATGATCGAAATTTGCTCTGTTTCTTTTTCTGAGCAGAGACTTCTCTTTCCTCGAAATTACATGGGAAGGTCCAGAAAGCAGAGAGGGTCAGCAGTCATGGCAAGCAATGTAACATTTTCCTATGAAAACATGAAACTTGGCTTGGCAGCTTTGTTGGCATACATTCAATACGTGGGGCTCTTTCCAAATCAGCATATATCCATCCAACATCTGACAGCTAGCAGACACAGGAGAGGGTTTTGCCACGTTATTTAGTTAAGTTGTTAGGATGGAAATTCATAAGGATTTAATAAAGGAGGAATTAACAAAGAAAAGAGTTTCTTGACCAATATTGATTATTATTATTATTGTTATTAAGATTATTAATCCTCGAAATTGTTTATCTAAGGAATTTGAATTGAGAAACGGCTTAGTTGTGTCAAATTCGACCATTAAATTAATGCATTGTTTCTCGTTTGTTGCTCAAATTAATTTGTTGCCGGGATGATCGAAATTTGCTCTGTTTCTTTTTCTGAGCAGAGACTTCTCTTTCCTCGAAATTACATGGGAAGGTCCAGAAAGCAGAGAGGGTCAGCAGTCATGGCAAGCAATGTAACATTTTCCTATGAAAACATGAAACTTGGCTTGGCAGCTTTGTTGGCATACATTCAATACGTGGGGCTCTTTCCAAATCAGCATATATCCATCCAACATATGACAGCTAGCAGACACAGGAGAGGGTTTTGCCACGTTATTTAGTTAAGTTGTTAGGATGGAAATTCATAAGGATATAATAAAGGAGGAATTAACAAAGAAAAGAGTTTCTTGACCAATATTGATTATTATTATTATTATTATTATTATTATTGTTATTAAGATTATTAATCCTCGAAATTGTTTATCTAAGGAATTTAAATTGAGAAACGGCTTAGTTAAATTAATGCATTGTTTCTCGTTTGTTGCTCAAATCAAGTCCTGTTAGATTAAAAAAGAAAAGAAAAAAAGAAAAAAAGAAAAAGGAATAACATAATTAAGCCAAAAATAAAGATGAAAAATGATATAAGACCTAATTATATATTGTGCAATGAGACTCATTGTCGTGATATAAAGTACTATGCTACTTGAATTTGAAACTCCACAAGAGTGCTTTATTAGTTTCCTTGTAAGTAATTCTCTTTTCCCATCCAAAGTCCAAAAATGATTCAAAAGCATCTGATTCCGTCCATATATATAAATCTTTAAAAATAATGAACTTATATATCATTTACGTTCAAGAATTCTATAGTGAGGCCTTATCTCTCTTAATTGTTGGATCAAACTGGTTAGCCGTTGGATAAAATTGGTTTGTTTGATTCAACGGTTAAGAGATAGGGCCTCATCTAAGAGCCTTACACTATAGAATGACTCCATGTATATATGTTAAACCAAATTAAAATTAACTAATTCATCACGAAAGCTCCAAGTATTATTCATGTGGACTGAGATCCCTATTCTTAGGTGCTAATCAAAGTAAATGATCCTAGCAAGGAAGTTGTTAATTTTGGTAAATTAAATGGGATTTTCCTTATTATGTATAGCTTACCTGCCAAGAAGAAACTATTGATATGCAAAAGTCCACTTAGAATCTCCCCAAGATGAAATGGCAATAATGGACAGTGGAAAATGCATATGTCATTATTGCTTTGAATTATGTTCCTTAATGAGAAGTGTTATGCTTGCTAGACGTACCTTCCAAATGGGAAAGGAGAGGCAGCATACCTACAAAATTAAGTTCAGCCCTACAACTACGAGTCCATTCAAATTAAGAGTCGTACATAATGGAAAGGGATGGGTAAATTTTAGCCTCGAGTAATTATTTTGTAACCCTTCCTGTAATTAGTCTGTAACAACTCCCTGGTATATAATTATTATAAGCAAACCTCAATCTTCTTAAAGAACATAGAAAACCAAAATATTAAGTTAAAGAGAAAGCTATACGTGTACGTAGTAAAGAAGAATAATTAATTTTGATAATAATAATAAGCTCCAACTACAGATGATCAGATCATAACCAGAGGGAAAAAAAGTTATACATGCATGCCCTAGAACAACAAACTAAGAGATCAGTGTAGCTATGGCTAACTAGAACTCAAAAGCAAGAGCTTCCTCCAACAAGTCTTTAGACGTTTGCATCAAAGCAGGGCTCAACCTAAACATGAGAGTACAAAACTCCATCTCATTCAAACTCCCATCACCATCCAAATCACCTTCTCTCAGCATGCACCTCAAGTCTTCATCACTCATCTCCTGCAACCCCAGCAATGCAGAGTTTCTCTTCAAGCTCTCGAATGTGATCATGCCTTTCGCTCCGTCCATTAACAACTGAAACCCGTTGCACAGCTCCTTCATGAACCCTTCTGCTCCCAACCTCTCCACCATGACTGGAAAGAAGTCTTCAAACACAACTCCACCACCTAAAGCCATTGACTATATATTAAATTCTGAATGTGTATATACAGAAAGGTGGTGAGCATTGTGAGGGGTGTTATGTGTATATATACACATGAGGTGAGGAAGTGGAGTCACAAAAGGAGGGAGAAAGATGAAGGTTATGAGGAAAGAGTGGGCTGCGTTGATGACAAAGGTATGTACATGTTGATCAGGGATTGTCCGCGAAGGTTGTTCTTGTTGCAGCCATTTTCTCTAACTTAATTTCATGGCTTCTTCCACATATCTAGTACTTTTCCTCGAAGTTGCATGGGAAAGTAGCACCAATTTGGCATGGTCATGGCAAAGCATTTTCCTTCGAAATTAAGCGTCCTAACACAATTGCTACAGCTGTTTACAAAAATGCCCTTACTACGAAATGAAAACAAACAAGAAACTTGTACACGACAACAATAAAGTTCATTGACGACTTTGATTAATTATCTTGTTGGACAAGAAATGAAGATTATATACTTTTATACTTTCAAGTGTATGCCAGGTGAGAAAACAAAAGGAGCTCTATATAGCTAGGTTTAGGTTATCTGCATATCTAAGACCTAACTTGTACACGACAACAATAAAGTTCATTGACGACTTTGATTAATTATCTTGTTGGACAAGAAATGAAGATTATATACTTTTCTACTTTCAAGTGTATGCCAGGTGAGAAAACAAACGGAGCTCTATATAGCTAGGTTTAGGTTATCTGCATATCTAAGACCTATGGCTTGTACAAGACTTTACGTGCCAAACACACGGTTTGAATATAAATAAATAAATATGTAAATAAATATGCATGGTTGGTTCCGGTTTTGATCGTTGGTTGATCAATGTGGACTAGGTGTTCTGAGATTTCGTCATCGTTTTGAGATGGCCATCTTTGCATCTCTTCATCAATTCATCAAAGATCCTGGACGACCTGGAACGAAATGTTAATATTCCATCCCATGACGTTGTCTTCAAATTCAACATATTCAAGTGCCCTACTTTATAAGGATTGTGGAAGGAAGCGCATAGTTTTTAAATTCATCTATAGTTGACTTTTCTCAGCTTTTTCTTTCTTAATCTTATACATACATTCACCATCTCACACATATCATATTTGTTTCCCAACGAATATTGAGAATATTTTGATTGTACGTGCTACTTTTCATTGTTAATTATTGTTTTTACACATATGTAGGGAGTTATTCTTCTTTATAGACCAATCACAGTCTGACACATATACAAAAGTAACTCATTAAACTACAAAATAAAAAGTTCTAATACAAATGTCAATACTGTGATTTGTTGCAAAGAGAAAATGACTCTTTATGTGTAAGGAGCCAATTATTTTCCTTATGAGTGCTACTATTTCCCCACCCACCATGTAAATTTAAAAATACACAATTTTATCTTTACACCCACCATTATTCCTAAAATGCCAACAAATTCTCCAAACTTTCATTCAAAACATGCTTCAAGCCTTCAACCCCTACCAATCAAAAACCCAACAACCCTTTGAGTCATTCAACCTAAAATCATACCAAATAACAATAAAAAATAAAAGTCAATTCTAGATCATTTCATTCATCAACAACAAAGGCCTCAACACCCAGGTTTGAGTTCCCCAATCAGTGAGTTTCCTTGCTATCACCACCGACTAGTAAACTAATTTGGACATCTGCAAAAAATAGAGAATGATTTCGGTTTATGAACACATTAAAAAATTGGCTATATTGAAAAACCCCATATTTTTCATCAAAGGGAACTTTAAATTCTTCCACTTTCCTCAAATTTCTTTCATAAAATGACATGAACACAAAAAATACCAAACTTCGAAACAAAATGGTATGTACCCATGAAATGGCCTAGCTCTTTGGTAAATATGTGAGTCTGTAGGGCCAACTCTGGTGGGAGAGATAATGAGCACCGTAACACCACCCTGAGGCACGTGCTGCAAGAATAAGGAGCAAGGTCTTGCGCTGAATGGGACAGGGAGACTCTGCAGCCCTTGCGATTGATATGGATTAGGGAGAATAGGTGGTTTTTTTTCCAAGTCCTTAAAAGTCATTTTACGAAGGGATAAATTTATCTTTAAAATTTTGAAGATAAGTAGGTGGGAATATAGGACGGAGGGTGGAAATAGCAGTACTTTTTCCTTATTTATACCCACGTAACAAGACTAGGAACAAGAAATGTAGCACAAACATCAGCTTGACGTAGCGTAGTGAACAAAAGTACGTAGTTTCGTTGATAAATCACAAAATTACAGATAGAGATAGTACAACATAGCCTCCCGGCGAGGGAATAAAAAGAGAAAATAAACTTGCATAGCAATTAATTGAGTACATTTGATGACTGCTCTGCTCTCTTACAATGTTAGAGCTTCCTCCAACAATTCTTTAGAATTCTGCATCAACTCGGGACTTAACCTAAACATAAGAGTAGAAAACTCCATCTCATTCAAGCACCCATCCCCATCCAAATCGCCTTCCCTCAGCATGCACCTCAAGTCTTCGTCACTCATCCCCTGCAAACCCAGAAATGCAGAGTTCCTCTTCAAGCTCTCGAATGTGATGACACCTTTCTCCCCATCCATTAACAAGCTGAACCCATTGCTCAACTCCTTCATGAACCCTTCTGTGCCTAACTTCTCCACCATTGTTGGGAAGAAATCTTCGAACACAACTCCGTTACTTCTCGACGCCATTGTCTGTTAATTATAACAAGAAGTAATTGAAACTTACTAGTAGCTAGGCTAGGAACTTAAGAACACTATTTATAGTACATACATATACTAGTCCAGAAGGGAAAATGGAAAATTTCCAAACGGGTCGCTTTTGGTGACAGGGAAGGTGCGGATCCTAAGAGATTTGTTTTGTCAAGACTCAAGACTCAAGGGCAGTTGTTGCAGGGACATTATTTTTGATCCTAGAGTTTTCAATGTTTGATTTGATCAGAAAGTTATCTCCTTCCTCGAAGTTGCATGGGAAGCTACTATGCCAGTACTAGCGGCTGGCATGAAAGCTGAGCTCAACTTTCGTTTGGAATGACGAAAGGGACCATTCTTTAATGAGGCCAATTTTTTTCCATTTGAAAAAGAAAGCAACGTTTTTCTTGCTGTGATGTGAGAAAACAAATAGATCGGAAAAAAAATAAAATAATTAAGAATAGTATTCTTAAAGTACACACAATATTGTGGTTTAAATCCAAAAACAAAAACAAAAGGGGCGAGAATCGCTGGTGATAAATGGTACATACGTAACGTATATAAATATAATCCTTCATCATGAGAAATGCATGAATATATTTTTTAAAATAATAAAAGTGCTTATATATATAATTCCATTTTAAAGTTATATTAATTATTAAATTGTTGATAAAGTTGAAAACCCAACATTTAAAAAATATTATTCTCGTTGTGATGTTAGACTGTGTGTCTCATTGTGGAGTTAGGACGAAGGTGCAAAACATGAGCATCTTATTGAAGGATGAAGTAAGATTGAATAAGATGATTTTTGTCTGACGCAAATCTCAATTTCTCTTCCTCTGTCGCTATTCTCAATGTGTGTTTCAATATTTTTCTGAAACTGAGGAAAGATTTGTCCATATCTATGGTAGTCATCTTATACTATTATATACATGTTAAGTTGAAAACCCTAATTTATATCAATGTGGAAAGATTTGAATCCTCCGTAGCCATTCATGATATTTTCATAAATGCCTGCAAATATGTGTCAAATGTTGAGAAAGGTGATAATAGCACATCCTGAGTTAAAGCGGCCAAAAATATTCTTATGAATTTGGTATCTAGGGAAAGTGAACCGCGCTTTCCGAGGGGCCTAGTGCCTGGATTAGAAGTTGGGAAACAATTTTCATCTTCATATAATTTCATAGTGGGTCTTGCGGCGTTTGGCTGCGTTCGAGGGTCAGGCCCATTACTCCTCCATGAAAAAATAGACAAAGAAAAAGAAAGAATGAGGAAGTTGGCTTTACCTGCAGTTGTTGGAAGACTTTTTTTGGCTTTCCTCGAATAGCAGCCACTTTCCAAGAAAATTCCCTTGTGTCTGTTTGGTACATATTGTCAAGAAAGCCGATTGGTACGTGTGGAGGCCGATTTAGATTCAACTCGTGCCCAGGTTACATATCCATAAAGAAACAAAAATTACTTTAACTTATACTTACGTGACAATTATTGAACATGGTGTGTACAAAAGTTGAGAGTTTAAGTGACAATTACACGCACGAAATTATTATCGTAATGGTGGGTGGTGATTTTAGTGGGGAATTTTCGTGTAAGGATTTCTTCTTGTTTTTATAGGTTGCTCAAAAGGGTATGAACAGATGATGATTACGTATGGTATGTGGTAATCAAATGGGGCAGCTTTCGTATTATATAGTTCCAGGTTTAAAGGAGTTTTTGACCAAAACAAGTTTAAAGCATTTGAGTATTCATAAAAATCTGCCTTATTATTAGAATCACTATTTTACAGTGCTTGGAGGTTGACACTTCCAAATTCTGAAGGCATACGCCTCAAGCTCTAACTTCTGCTTTTGCCAATTAGTCTTCTTAATTGTCAATCTTTGTTTTAGCAAGGGCCTGTTTTGTTGGGTCATAAAATGTTCAAGGGCCTCAACAATCCAGAAATCAACTTTCTTCAATCAAAGTTCCAGAAGAATTCAAGCTAGCAGAGATTGGACCCGAACCCAGAAGGCGAGGTTGGACGCTGGGGTTGACCCTGTTCGTATTAAACTAAGTTTTGCTTGAGAATATGATTGAGAAGAATAATGATTTCTCACTCTATTAATTCAAGATAAAAGAACCAGGCTATATAGCCTTTACATGAACTGAAACCAACAGAAAAAGCTGAAGCACTATCCCACGAATAACAAGTCCTAATCTCATGGGATACTTGTTCGGTTCATTTTTATACATGATTTTTCATGTTATTCACCCACTATTTTGAGTTAGTTCTTGACATTTTATAGTTTTTTACTTCCTTTTTGTGTTTTGTTAGATTTTACCTTGGTTGGAATGAAAATGAGCTAAAAGTGCATTATTGGTTATAAACTTTGTTTTTGTTCATTTTCGTAGGTCAACTTCTTGGCCTGGGATCAACATGCTCTGGTGCTCGGATGAGGTCATGATCTTCATGAGACTTGTTCCAATGGATGTTAACTACAACATATCCAAATTTGAGCTCCATTGGACAAGTATTGCCTATCCAACCAATCCAGCATGTTACCACAGCTCTGGAAATCCGGAATTGGCCAGCTTTTACCTCCATTGTGTTATCTTGATTATTCTTGTTACCATAGCACTTGGTAACAAAAATTTACCTTAGTAGATGAGAACACTAAACGCTCACCGTTCAACCTGATTATTGTCCTCTGAGGCCCACCTGACACCGAATCCGACCTGGGAAGCTTCGAGCTTTACTACGATGACGGAGCCGGTTTGGGCCTCCGCCCTCTGCCGTCGTCCATGTCGGACTTCTTAATGGGATTGGGTTTCAACCGGCTGCTCCACCAATTGACCCAATTGGAAAACGGCGTCGCACGGCTCGACCACGTCTCCACCGAGTCCTTCACTGTTACAGCATTACAGCTTGTCAAGGTGTAACAGATACCGGGCTTGAAGCAGTAGGGAAAGGCTGCCCGAATTTGAAATAGTTTTGCCTTCGCAAATGTCTATTCCTTTATGACAGTGGGTTGGTATCATTTTGCAAAGCAGCAGGATCGCTTGAGAGCCTTCATTTGGAGGAGTGCCACAGGATTACCCAACATGGGTTTTTTGGTGCTCTTTCAACTGGTGCAAAATTGAAGGCTCTAGCATTTATCTACTGCTTGTGGAGCAGCTATGGCGTTGTGATATCATTTCCTAGGCTAGGAAGAAAAAGGGGTAATTGCCCACTCTGGAATCAGAATCAGCACCTACAACGATGAGGGTTGAATAGTCAGGAAGTCAAGAATCGTAGTCAGCTTTTGTGAGTAACCACAGCTTATTTAGTTTTTTTTTTCTTTTTTGGTAAAAGGAGGGGCAAAGCCCAGCAACAGAGAGACTACAAAAGAACAAAGCGTGGTCTGGAGGTGCCAGTGGCATCAGCAGCCAGAGTGTCAATAAGAGACGTCGGAGGCAGATCAAAAATTTGAATGCTAGGAGCCAAATCAGCACACATTGCAGCCAAGGCATCTGCAGCAGTATTCATCTCGCGATAGACATGATGGACAACACAGTTCCAATCACCATGAATCTTAAGTTTGCAACAATTGATGATATTAGAGAGTTGGGTCTATCAGCAACGGGTCTTTAGAAGAACCTCAGATTGGGATCTGGGTTTTGAGGGGGGTGGGATAAGGAGGGAGGAATGGGTTGTGAGAGAGAGGGAGAGACAAAGCGAAAGAGAGAGGGATTTTTATTTTTAAGTCCCTTTTTTTTTTCAAAAATTAGAAAATGTCATTACCTCTGAAATTAGTTCACGGACCCAATTGCAACTGGGCCATAGTTCAAGGACGTCTACAGTAATTAACCCTAAATCTAAACGACGAAAAGTCGAAGATACCCCGAACAACAAGAGTGTTGGTATTAAACTAAGTTTTGCTTGAGAATTTGATTGAGAAGAATAATGATTTCTCATAGCGTAAATTCAAGATAAAAGATCTAGGCTATATAGCCTTTACATGAACTGAAACCAACAGAAAAAGCTGAAGCACTATCCCACGAATAACAAGTCCTAAACTCATGGGATACTGGCTAGAGAAACAGTCAGAGATAAACCCAACTACTTCCTATAACTTAGGGATAATTCAAACAACTCAAAATAAACAACTAATAATAAATAAACAACTAATAATAATATCTTCACATCCTCCCTTAAACTGAATGCGATTAAGCAATCAGTTTACATCTGAACTTGAACAGACTCCAAGTGAACTGCGCATCCTTCTGAAATCATCCAGCTTCAATGGCTTTGTTAGAATATCTGCAACCTGTTCTTGAGTTCGGCATTGAACCAAATTCACCACTTCTTTTTCAGTGAGCTCCCGCAGAAAGTGAAATCGAACATGATCTATATGCTTACTTCTTCCGTGCATAACTGGATTTTTAGATACCTTAATAGCTGAACTTTTGTCACAGTATATCAGAGTAGATTCATACTGTGAACAATGACTGGATTTTTAGATAACTTAATAGCTGAACTATTGTCACAGTATATCAGAGTAGATTCATACTGTGAATAATGCAACTCATTAAGTAATCTTCTTAACCAAACAGCCTGACATGCGCAAGAGGCAGCAGCAATAAATTCAGCCTCAGTTGTTGAAAGTGTAACAATTGGTTGTTTCTTTGAGGACCAAGAAACAGCTGCTGAACCGTACATAAAAACATACCCTGAAGTACTCTTTCGATCATCTAAATCACCAGCATAATCACTGTCACTGTATCCTAACAGAAATTCTCCTTTCAATCCTTTCTTGTAGAACAAACCATAATCTGTGGTTCCCTTCAAGTATCGAAGTATCCTTTTTGCTGTTTGAAGATGCACTTCAGTAGGTGATTCCATGAACCTGCTTATTAGACTAACTACATACATTAAATCTGGACGTGTATTAGTCAAATACATTAAGCTCCCCACAATCTGCTTGAAATGAGTGCTATCAACTTTTTGTCCTTCAGTGTCTTTAATGAGCTTGGTTCTTGGAACGATTGGGTTTTGTACAGCATTGCAATCAGCCATACAAAACCTTTTGAGCACTTCTTCTGCATATTTTTTTCTGCCCAACAAAGATTCCATCCGTAGATTGCTTCACTTCAATACCCAAGAAGTAATGCATCTTTCCTAGATCTGTCATCTCAAATTCATTCATCATGGAGGTTTTGAACTCAGTGAACATGGCTGTATCATTTCCTGTATATATTAAATCATCAACGTAGAGACAAATGATCAAGATTTTATCTCCCTCTTGATGCTTTATGAACAAGGTATGTTCATATGGACACTTCACAAAACCTGTTTTCAGAAAATAGCTTTTAATACGGCTGTACCAAGCTACCAAGCTCTAGGAGCTTGTTTCAGTCCATATAGAGCTTTCTTCAAACGATAAACCTTTTGCTCTTGCCCCTTTTGTTCATAGCCAATAGGTTGATCCACATAGACTAGCTCTTTTAATTCTCCATGCAAGAATGCTGATTTTACATCAAGTTGGTGGATATCCCAGACATTTTTGGCAGCTAAAGCAATTACTAATCGAATGATATCATGTCGAGCTACAGGTGCAAAAACTTCTGTATAATCAATACCATGCTTTTGAGAGTATCCTTTAGCTACTAACTTGGCTTTGTACTTGTCAATCTCACCATTTTCTTTGATCTTTGTTTTGAAGATCCACTTGACTCCAATAGTTTTTCCTCCCACAGGCAGATTAGTAAGGTCCCATGTATTGTTTCTTTGAATGGCGTCAATCTCAACATCCATGGCTTTCCTCCATTTTGAGCTTTTAACAGCTTCATCAAAGGTGATTGGATCACTATCAATGAACAAAGCAAAGTGAGCGCCTTCATCTGTTCCATTTTCTTCATCTGTTAGTTCTTTTCCAGTCACATAATCAGTTAGCCATCCAGGAGCTCTTCTTGTTCTTGTTTCCCTAGTCATTGCTTCATCAGGTTCTGAGGAGTTGTTCCCTAATGAGTCATTTTCTAATAACTCATTTTGAGAAGCTTGAGGTGTGGTATTTTCAATTTCTTCAGCTCCTTCTAGGTCAATAGTGACATGTTGATCTTTTCCAATACTCCAATTCCATCCTTCATCTTCACTAAAAACAACGTCTCTACTAATAATAATCTTCTGTGTATTTGGGTTGTACAACCTGTAAGCTTTTGATTCCTCACTAACACCAAGCATTACACATTTCACACTCTTATTATCAAGTTTAATACGTTGAGAATCACTTACATGAGCATATGCCAGGCACCCAAATATTCTGAAGTAGCCAACATTAGGTTTCTTTCTACTCCAAGCTTCTTCTGGAGTAACATTCTTCACTATTAGGGTTGGACATCTGTTGAGGATATGGTTGATCCAGTTCACAACTTCTGGACAAAACCTTTTAGGAACTTTCTTCAAAGCGAGCATACTACGGACCATGTTCATGATGGTGCGATTCTTCCTCACGGCTACTCCGTTTTACTGTGGTGAATAAGCTGCTGTCAACTGTCTTTTAATTCCATTCATTTCACAAAAATTAACAAACTCTTGTGAATTGAATTCTCCTCCACGATCAGTTCGTAATGTTTTGATGAACAAATAATACTAACGATGCTCTCCGTATGCTTTCCTTTGGAAAAACTTCTCTGTGTTGTTTTCCCATCATGCATTCTTTACAAATCCTAACTGGAGGTTGCAGCTGAGGTAGCCCTCCCACCATGCTTTTCTGCTGTAAAGTCTTTAAGTCCTTGAAATTCAGATGTCCATATCTAAAATGCCACAACCAAGTATCATCTTGGATAGTGGATTTCAGACAGACTTGCTTGGTTAATGTAGGTTGTGTTTGTAGTGGAAACATTCTATTTGAAGCCATTTCAACCTGCATAATTAGACCTTTCTCCGGATGATGAATTTGGCAGCAATTTTTTTGTATTAAAATAGCAAACCCCTTCTCTTGAAGCTGACCAAGGCTGATCAGATTGCTTCTTAATTCAGGCACATAGAACACACCTAATATGGTTTGCACAGCTCCATTGACTTTAATTTTGACATCTCCTTTTCCTTGTACTTTTAAGCTTGAATCATTACCAAGCTTTACAGTCTCCCTGAACTTCTCATCAAGTTTGATGAACATCTTCTTGTTTCCGCTCATGTGATTGCTACAGCCTGAATCCAAATACCATGTGTTGTTGATTTGTTCTTCCTTGACTTCCACATATGCCATCAACAACAACTCTTCTTCAGTTTCAGCTACATTGGCTTTTGTTTCATTCTCCTTTTTGGGACACTCATATTGAAAGTGTCCCATTTCATGGCAGTAGTAACACTCCACATTTGATTTATCAAATGATCCTTGGCGTCCTCTTCCACGTCCTCGAAATCCTCCTCGACCTCTTCCTCTTCCTCTCCCTGGAGAGTAATTCTCTTGGCTCACCTTCAATGCTTGTTCTTCCATTGCATGGCCATTCATCCGTTGTTCATGTACCAAAAGACTGCTTTGTAGTTCATCAATAGAGAGATGATCAAGATCTTTTGATTCTTCAATCGAACACACCACATAGTCAAACTTTGGTGTCATTGATCTCAGAATCTTTTCGATAACAGCTACATCTTCCAGCGTCTCTCCATTGATCCTCCTCTTGTTAGCCACGGTTAGAGTCCTTCCAAAATACTCATTAATTGACTCTCCAATCTTCATATTGAGCATCTCAAACTCTTTGCGAAGAGCTTGAAGTTGAGCTCGCTTGACTTTCGCCGTGCCTTGATATTTCTTCTTCATTGAATCCCATATATCCTTCGCTGTATCTTTCTTCAAGATGGTCTCTAATATGGCTCTATCAATGGCTTGAAAGAGATAGTTCTTGGTCTTCAAATCTTTGAGCTTCTGATCCTCTAAGGCTTTCAATTGAGCTTCTGTCAACTCTGCACCCTCTGCATACTGCTTGATTCCATTCTCCACTAGGCCCCAATATTCTTTGGACCTCAAGAAGTTTTCCATCAACATGCTCCAGTGATCATAATGACCATCGAAGCGTGGAATTGCTGGTTGCACGAAGCTACTTCCTTCTCCTGCCATTAATTCTTGCTGTTGCAAGCTTAGAGAAGTGTTTGAGAGCTCCCCCCCTTGGGGTGTGATTTGAAGCTTGAAGGCTTCTCTATTTATAGGGCTAAGAGGGAGAAACATCATGATGGATTTCCACACCATCCTTCATCTTTTGCTGCACCTCAAGCTTTCATCACATGGGTTCAAAGGTGGTCAGATGTG